AAGGGAAGGGAAGGGAAGGGAAGGGAAGGGAAGGGAAGGGAAGGGAAGGGAAGGGAGTCAGCATGTTTTTGGTGAGAGCACTAGCCTCTCCTAAACCACAACAGTGGCAGAACAAATAAAATGTCTTTCTGCTAAGTTTTTAATCTCCTTCTAGATTTGAATCATTAAATGCCCTTAATTAAAATCAATACAAAAAGAAACCATTGAGCCAAAGACCACTTTTCATATTTGCTAGGGGGATAAAGTAGAAAGAAACACATTTTCTGAATTTTTTTTACCGGATAAGAATAAATTACTTTAATTATGTAATGCATATGATTCATATTTTAGAATATCTAGAATATCTGAACATTTAAAAACTACCTCACAGAATAGTCTGATAAGTTATTTATCATATAATGATGAAAAATACTTGATTGTAAATATTCTGGACTTTTAGATATCTATGAGTGCTATGCCATTTCTCCTTCAAATTACTGAGATAGAGAGCAGTAGAATAGAAATGAATGATCTTACCACTATTTCACTTTAGGATACAGAAGGCATGGGGCAAAATTGTGTAAAGATCTATTTGTAGATTTTTATTCATTATAGATTAGATCGTGTATATCAGTCATTATTGAATCATATACTATAAAACATTAGTAAGGCAGTTTTTAGGGGAAAAATCATAAAGCTGAGTTTTTGGGACATCAAACCTATTAATCATTCTCAACAAACTTTGTGAAGAGTTTTATGGTTTTTATCTTGAGCATGTTGAAAGTTTTCTCATTTCCTTTTTTTCAAAATAACATCTGAATGCATGCTTGCCAATTTAATCACTTTCCTCTCTGATCAACTCAATACTAGGAGCGTACCTTGGAAGATCGAAAAAAAATGTCTTGAAACATAACTCCAGTGTTTGGGCTATATAAACAGTGGCAAGACCAATTATCTCAATGTCATTCAGGTGGAGACATGCAAATCAAATGGGTGAGTTGTATCAGTCTTGTTGTATCAGTCTTTTACTTTTTAAAACCTGATTTTTTTGTCTTCCTGTCCTCTGCTCTATTGTTCAGACTACACTGTTCAGTCTTCTTTCATTCTAGAACAAAGTTATTAGAGACCTCAAATCATTCTCCCGGCTCTCCTCTGGAAGCTCTTCAAAGGATCTTACTTTCTCCAGAGGTGTGATGTTCTAATCTGTTTGCAGTACACTTAGGGTGTATTGCTGGGGTACTGTCAGTGCTGCAGAGAACAATGGACTATGTCACATGTCATGCAGGCTTAATTCATGCCACAAATACTTTTATAAGATTGGCACATTTATTGACTCTTATTATCAGACTAGATGTTATCATTCTATGATTAAACAGCTTTCTTTCTTTTATTCTCAAATGCTTTGCAACTTGTCCCCATTTTTCTGGTTTTTATTTCCGTTCTTTTTTCTTTCTTTTGCTTTTCCAGGATGTTTGTCTTATTTGCCATGAATACATGTACACATGTATGTAATCGAATCCCTTCAATTTTCATGCTGACTTAATATAAAGAAGCATGTGTTCTATCAAATAAATTATTTATGGAGCATTGCATAGGGCAAGATTAAGGCAAGACCTCTGCTGAATCACATTCAACACACCTCCACATTTTGCTAATGATTCTAACTTCTCTTTGATGAAACATGGTTCATCAACCACGCTTGCATTCTCTATTAAAAAGCAGGCTATAGTAAAGCCAAGATACAGAATATTATTCTTTCTCCACATATCAACTCTTCCCTTTAGCACACAGAAGGAACTTTGTTTAACATAACACTGCTTCAAACGGCTGTAGCAGAGGTAGATCAGAGCTGAAGGCTGTATAAATTTGTGCTCCACTTCACCTGTGTCAATAAGCTGCATTGCAATGAGTTTGTGTCTGCATGTTTACGTTAACATGTCCTAAGGTAGTTCCTTCTAGGATTTCTTGGTGTAATAAAACCCTGACTTCATAATTCTGCCATGATGTTTAATTGTCCATTTCTTCCCTTGCCTGGTGTTTGAAATCTGATGCTCCTTCTCCTTTGAAAGAGAGTTATTAGATGGGACACAGAAGTAATTTCCTACATTGTGTGTGTGTGAGAAGTTACCAGCTTCTTCACTGTTGATAGCAACATTTCCTTTCCCAATTAAGGTATCCCTGTATCACTGTTCCAATCTGACCTACATTTTAACATGCTGAAACATCTTCCTGACTGCCTGTGAGTTTGTCATGAGTGTAAGCATACAGCTTACATACCAGTTCCTAACACTGCCCAGCCCTGAGTTTGGACCTCTTGAAGCCAGGAGTTTGATTTTTAAATTAATGAGGTTTGAAAGAGTAAATGGTAAGCCTCCATACTTATTTTTGAACTTGAATATTGTCCGAGCTTCCCTGGTAGGTAGGAAAGCTCAATATATAATAATTTTTAAAATTAAAGCCGAGGTGTTTCTCTAATCTCTTTATTTCAGAAACCAGGGTTTTAAGAGAAAATGTCTCCATTGTGAAACTAGTCATGTAACAGAACCAAGCTCATATTTTCACAGTGAATATTTCTCTTTGTGGTTAGAGCAGTTTCTAGCAAAAAAACCTACTTTCCATTAAAAAAAAATAATCCTCAAGCTGTCATACTCCCACCACTGGATTTACCAGCATAGTGTAGAGGATTTCTTGCAAAATATTCTGAGCAATTCCTGGAACTGATATTTTGCAACTGCTTTAACCTCTCTACAGAGTGATTTCTTAATGCAAATTTCCCCCACACATTCACATAAGATTAGTAGTCTCTTTTCGCTAAAGAAAGATTAGGATGATCACTGTCTTAAAGTCTTTGATTCCTTCTTTTCAGCTGTAGTTCCTCCTACAGTAAATAATACTTAGTGAATTGAATAAAGTCACATTATTCTTTGTCAAGATACCATAGTAAATTGAGCCACAGTCATTTTCTTGACTCAAAACACCTGTTACTTATATCTGTGCAAACTGGGAAATGCTTAGGTTTAGAAAGACATTATCTCTCAAATAGGAGGTGTTATATTTGTGATGTCTCCTTCCAAATTTAATCAGAGGGGGAAAAAAAGAAACAAAAAATCTGCTTACTCTTTAAAGTCTTTTACTGTGCAGGGTTTATTAAACCTCTAAGTTTTTGGGGTTTTTTTGTGTAACACATATTTAGAATAGAATAGACGACTAGACTAGAATAGAAATTTCTGCTCCCATGCTGCTTTTAAATTCAGCAGCTTGCACAGTGTTTCATTGAAGGTGCTTTTCTTCAATGTAATCTCTGTCTCTATCAGTTTAGGTCCGCTAGTTTCCATATATCTACTATTTCCAAAGCTACTTAATATATCTCTCCATGTGATTATTTATTATTCATCTCAAAATATGAATATGATGGTGTGTACTTCAGAATAATCTACTGACTGCTGGCTTTACAGTGCTTGACTATATTTTGTCTTCCCAAATAATTGACCCTAAACTCCAGAATTATCCTGTGTGTTAAATGGCTCATGTTCCTGTAACTCACATGCTATTTGATTCAAATATTTGTAGCATAGAAATGTATGTGTGCACACTATAAACAAGAGTGCATTTTTGTTTCCAAATAAAATAGAAATTGTGGCTGGAATGCCTGAGACAACTCTAAACTTGTACTTCCAAGTATTTGTAGTCTGAAAACAGGCTCCAATTCTAAATCCAATTCTGATTTGTTTCTGCTATCGTAAAATTTCCTACCTTTGTATCTGTCCTCAAAGAAACTGTATTAAAAATTCTATGAAAAATCAGTTTCTTGGGCTTGTTACCAAGGGCAGGGATATATAGTCACTATTAAAATCACTTTTGTAAATAAGTTTTTGCAATAAGAGCACTGACCTAACTGATGGCAAAAACCTGGGACTGCAGAAAGAAAGAAAAAAAAATCTGTCACTAACATATCATGCTCTTGAATTAAGATTGCCTTTCAATCTGGCTGGATTAGGAGATTTGCTGTGGCAAGGTCTGCAAGAGTCACATTTTCATATAAACATTTTGGAAGTGCTCTTTAGACTGCAATTACCAGAGTTCAATATTGAAAAGCATCAACAACTGCAGAATGGTTTGCAATGTTTGCAAGAATCTGTAGACTGTGAGGAGGAATACTTAGATTATTTCATTTTTATACTTTAGATCATGGTCTTTTAAAAGATAATAATTTGGAGAATTCAAGGAGAACTATGATAGTAGGTTTTCTGAAGGGCTCAGACAGTTCCCTAGAGATTTAAGCTTAATTCAAAATCCAGTGGTGAAAGGGAAAAAATATGGAAGTCTTACAGGATAAAAATGAATACTGTAAATAATTGTGCCCTCCTTAACACTTACTATTATAGTCTTTGTTTCAATCTTCAATTCCTTTACATCTAGAAAGGGTTGAGACACATGAAAGAGAAAATTTCATTGTTGTTATTCAGATAAGCTTCCAAAAAAAGTTGTATTTATTTCTTCCTTTATTCAAAACTGTTTTGCCCAAGTTTGACAATGTATAAACCAGCAAAATTTATGTTGTGAATAAGTGAAAACAGTTATTAAGAATATGCATGCCATATGTCTATATATCCTTGCACCCTCCCCCTGAATGTTGGAATAATATTTCAAATTAAAGGACACAAAAAATTTACATTTAACGTTTTGTAGTAGTATTTATTAAATATATTGAGCAGTAAAAATAAACACTGAACACATGATCGTGGGTGAAAGTTCTTCCCAATGCTTTCAAGTCCAGTATAAGCAGGACCATTACATATCATACATTTTTTGTCTCACACTGCTTTCATTAGCCAGAGAAGTGAAAGTCTACTTTTATTAACCTGTGCCACATTAGGATTAGACTGAGATTGTGTACTCTTACTGCTGTATTATTTTTTTAAGATATCCATGTGGTCCTCTGCTTGCTGCATCGTGCATTAACTCAAATTTTTAATGACTTGTAGATACAAAGCAGAACAAAGGCAAAATTGTTCTTACAATTACCTAAGGTTTACAGGGCTATGTTTGAGGCTTCTCAATTGTTTACAGATGCAATATTTTGTATAATTTAAATATAAATAATTTCTTGCCTACATCAGAATTTCTGCAAGTGTTCAGAGAAGGGAAACGACGCATGGAAATATCCAATAAACAATTAAGAAATTCTTCCTGGGACTGAAGTGGGCCTAGAAAGCAAGAAACCACCATGAAAAGCCAAGTTGGAGAAAGCCTTGCAGGTGTAATTGTGCACATTTGTAGACTCATAGTTGTAGGGACAAAGATCACTATATCTTTCATATTTTCTATTTTTTCTGTATTAATATTTTTGTTTGATTCTTTTCAGGACAACGTTGGTAATTGGTATAAAGAGATAAGATGATGAAGTGATGGTGGGGAACAGTGGGTGAGTGTAGGGTTATAAATTCACTAAAACTGATAATTTTCTTCTTTAGAAGCATTCTTCTAACAGAGCATTAATGGCAACTAGATTATGAGAAGAAATATTCAAAAGATATTTATTACTAAGCTGCTATTTAATAATCTATTTCCTTCTTAAACTTCTATTCCTTAGAACATACTTAGCTTCTTCAAGCACAAGAGGTCTAGGAGAACATAAAACATTTTGTATCACATAGCACTCACTTGAGCATGTTGTGTTGGAAAATATAAAAAGCAGTGTGTCTAGTTTGCAGTCTTTACAATCCCAACAAACTGTGTGAACATTTTTTTTAAAGGGAAAACATTAAAGATGAATGGATTTCCCTTTGGAGATTTGCAGGCATTGTATTTGTCGGTAAAGCTAATTAATAAATCAAAAAGCAGGAGAGAAGTAAAGAGAAAAAAGTATTAGCATTTGCGTTTCAACTCAAAATTATTTTGTATGTGTAAACCTATGCAAAGCAAATTGCAGTAGCAGTAAGACCTCTAGGGATTCATAGGATTGTACTAATTTTATACTACTTCATCTCAAAAGACCTCATTTTCTGATATTTTGGGGCTACACGCAAACACTAGAACATCAGAAAATCTAAGTTGCGGGTAACCAGCATCTAACCATTAATTTATCATATTTTGAGCTTCCAAACATCAATTCTGATAATATAGGTAGATATTATTTTTTTAATATAGGTGTGTGTGTATATATATACACACATACATACATATATATGTATGGCATGGGTCACATATATATATATATATATATATATATGTGTGTGTGTGTGTGTGTGCGCATATATGTGTGCGTATTTTACACAATAAAAAACTTTTAACTCTTTTCTCAGTGAGGGTTGCCCTTAGTTGGTTAGCAGTGTTTGATTTAAGCCCTTTTCCCAGGTGACATTTTACAAGCAAAAGGATTTTGTCAAAATAATCTAAGTTTGAAAACAGAGGATTTTATACTCGGTAATCACATAATATAGACAGTCTAGTAGTTGTTCTGAAGTGTAGATATAAAAATAAATAAGGGCTGAAATACTTTATTGGATGGTTGGTCAAAATAAACTGATCAGATATTAATCTGTGGGTTGATAATACTATTTTTCTTGTTTGTGTTTGAGATATCACTGCAACACTCAACCACAAAACTATATTATTCTTGGAACAGATAAAAAAATGTCAGAAAGCTAACAGCACTTCTTTTGACAACGAAAATGCTTTATAATTTGGCACGTAGATGGTAATATGGAGATAAGTTTGTAATTCTTTGTTACTTGGTCTGTAGCTAATGAAGTTTCTTCTTGTTCATAATTATTAATCTATTTTCTTTCAGCTTCTAGAACTTTCTATCTACTTGTATCCATACCATATGTTATTCTTCTTGTTTTGTACCCTCAGTTATAGAATGGAGTTTCAGTCAGTGTTTAACTTCTTTACCCGTTTGGCCTTCTTGCCTTCTGATAGGTATAAAATAAGTTTGTTCTTTTGTCTATGACCTTACATGTATGATTGTTTTCCCATTTTAAAGCTTAAAAAGCAATGTGATTATATTCCTTTTTTTTTCTGTGCAAGCACATGTCTATTTATTGCTTGAGAAGGGCTTGTATGTCCTGGATGATATTATCTCTAGCAGTAGCTACTGCAACATCAGTTTTTGTAGGACAGACACATGCTAGCTTGTCACTTGTTTTAGTCCTGACATCCCTTGGGGGTATTTTGGATCATATTGATGTTTATTTCAGGTGCTCATTCTGATCATCTTTAACAAGGTCATAAATAACACAGTTGCTCAGCTGTTTTGCTCCTGTTCCAATTGCATTCTCTTGCAGATAAAGGTTTGGATTTTTTTGGTTAAATGCTTTGGCCTTTCTTTTTTAATACTGTCTTTATTGCTCTCCTGTATCATGCTGTATTTGCATATATTTTTGACAAAACTGAACTGTTTTCTATTCTCCTATATTTCTCCATAATTATATTCTAGTACAAAACAGATTTGAAATGTACAAATAATGGATGGAAACTAGCTACATAAGCCCCCTGCGCTGAAAGATATTGTACTGTGAAGGACTTTATTATTACATTTAATTGGGTTCTAACATTGAAAATAAATGTTAAACATTAAAAGGATATTATTTAAAACAATGAATAATTATGATTCCCATTTCTTTTTCTATGGACATTTGAGAACAGATAGTATTGCTCATGCATTTATCTTTTTTTCTCTATTGCTCTCTGGGGCTTGTTCCATGAAAAGAAATGAATAGACAAATGAGTCAAGTATAAAACCACACGATAATGCTCAAAGCTTGTTCAACAAACATGTAAGTGAAAATAAGGCACTCCATTGCTTTTACTCAGCAAACACCAGGGCTTTTGATAGCACTTTTCTTAAAAAGCTCCACTGTGTTCTAAAAATACCATCAGTCTTTGGAGTACTGCTGCAAAATATCTTTGGTATGTATTGTTCCTGTTCGAAAAAAGAGAACATTTTTGCAGAAATACCAATTATATATAAAAAAAAATAATCTGATATCTCCCAGAAGTTTATATGTTGCTGAATAGCAACATTTGTCCTCAGCAATTCAAAAGAGGTTACAAAGCAAGGATGAAAGGAAAGAATTACGAGATGAAAAATTAATTTATATAGATGTCATATACATTATGTGTTGCATTTGGTGAAAAGCAGACATTGCAATAGATGTTGGGAATCCTTTCCAGAATTTCAGTTTAGGTGCTCTGGATAATTCATTTCTCTGGATAGTTCATTTTTGTCAAACTTTTTATGAGGCAGGAACTATTTTGTCATCAAGCTAGAGTTGAATTCTACATTTCTACGAACACTCAAGCTAAAGTTGCATAGATTGCTTCAATATTGCTATTGGCAGAATGAAAAAATTTAAAACAGTTTAAGAGAATCTCCATCCTCCTAAATATATAAGAACGATTTCAGGTGCTGTTTACATAAAGCAACCTCCAAAAGAGTAGCTAAATACTTGTGAAAAGTCTCCTAAACTAAATAAATTTTAGACTTTTTGTTTTCCTTGTCTCAGGTGTGAGCTGCATCCTTAATTGTCTGATGAATGTATGCAATGCATTCAGCCTGAATTTTTGAGAGTTGAAGTTACATTTTACCAAGCCACAGCATTCTGTTTTATGAAGCAGGAACTATGCAAAGGACCAGGTATCAAGAATTCAAATCATACCTTGAATGAAAGGAGCATGGTGACTTAACAAACAAATATCTCTGTTGTAACTTTTCTCTTGTTCTTTCTTTTAATCTTTTCACTTTAGGTATTATCATATGTTGAAAATAGCCAAAGCCTTACACCTTATCATCTTCTGATTACAGAAGTCTATATAGTCCATTGTGGCACCACATTCAATTCATAACATCTTTCAAAATGGCTTTAATCCCTAATTTGGTTATCTACTTCACTCATTCTATATACCAAAATGCATAAAAGCTTACTTTTAAGTACTAATTTATAAATAAAAGTCCAGAACCATTTTTGGTTACATTCTAAATAAGTAAGCAAAGTGGTGACTAAAATTCCTTATAAACAGGGGCAAGAATTTAATTTAATATTACTAAAAATTTAATGTCGTTCACACTAAGTGCCACATTTGAACTTCTCTGCTATTAACTTTAAATAAGAATACAGAGTCCATAAAAGCACATTTCAAATGGAAGCTTTGAATCTAGAATCCAAATATGTGTCTCATTACCCTATTATACACAAGAAAGAATTGAGAAATGGCACATGAAAAAAGTATCCTCTTTGTGTTTCTCCTGTGAAGATGTGCTCCCAGACTTCCTTTGAAAACATTTGAATGCTACTATTAATCTAATGAAACAGGTTCATTTTTGACACAGTCTCATAAGAGTCTCAAGAAAAGATGAGAAGCATTTTTGACATAAAATGATTTCCATGTAAAAAATACCAATTGATTGATGTCACATTGTCTCACTATCTGTGGGAGTTTTTAATGAAATTTTGGTTGAATTTTCTTTCACAGTGTTCCAACTCATGTGTTAGCATTGTTTTATTTTAAAAATTTTTGTATTATTTAATTAAATATATTTAAGAGATAGATAAAATAAATAAACCAATAAATCATTTTAAGACTAAAATGAAAACTTAGCTTATTTAAATTCTCAAATAAAAAGTTATTTTATACTAGGCAATATTTTTCTTAAAGTGAAAATATTTCTAAAATGAAAATGTATTTTCTAATGTAATTTTTTTTACAAGAGAACGTCTTTTGAAATGTTCATGTTTTGAAATTTTAATTGCTTCTGAGAAAAAGTTACTTACACAGCTTTCACTTTGTTCTTGAACATATGCTTAAACTAGAAACTCCTCATAACAGAAACAGTGAAAACCTTACCTTGGACACTTAAAAATTGCTTGCTGCTTTTTTGCCTATTTGGTCACCTTAATAATTTTGATGTTATATAAGTACAAGATGACAAATAGCTTTAACCTTCTTTTTCTTTGTTTTTTTTTTTTTTTTTGTTTAGTACAATGTACCCTTGTTTGGTGATTTTATGGTCGTTTTGTAAATTATGTTTCTTATCTTTTTCTTCATTTTCACAATTAATTTTCTTCAGCCTACTTGTAGTGCGATTTAGGGGGGCAATATTAACACTGTTATGCATTCCTTAACATGCAAAGACTGTCATACATATTTGTGAGTTTTTAATTGTTTATATGTTATACTAAGCAGATGCTGCTTAGTATACAAAAAAAAAAAAAGTGCTACAGTACTAGGTTTGACGACACTGGAAATGGAAATTTTCAGATTTAAAAAAAAGGTGTTTCTGATATGCCCTTGGACTTCAAAACAGTTTAAGTTTTGAGGCACTTTTTAGGCTTGAAAGAGAATTGTCACCTTGAAGCAATGGCAGCTGTCACCTGCAAATGAGTTCATGCAATACATTTATACTTCTCTCCTTTAGTTAGTGCTGGTTGTTTTGGAATATATGAACATAAAGTCCCCCAGTGGGCATCCTTCATATATTTGTCCAGTGTCCCATGGATCTGCCTGAACATGCTCTTTACTGAAATCCTGTGATTATTACTGTCACACTGGAGAGGTCTGTAGTTTAAATCACAGACTCCAATGCCTGGATACTGCAGGAATGACAGGATTTGTGGCTGCAGCAGATAACCTGCTAGATTAAGGCCTGAAATCTGAGAGGCACATGCAGCTCATTATACATGGAACAGTTGAGAAATGATCACCATCAGTGAGAGCAAACAAAATAGTGCCTTGAAGCTAAGTTGGAAATATAGCAGTGCTGTTAATAATTAATTCTCCCTGTTGTGTCTGGCATGCTGCCTATGATAGCAAAAAATCCAATAGGATATTGCTATATCCCCCAGCTCATAGAAATCCACCAGGGGTGCACCACGGCTGATCTGTTGTTGCCCAACAGTACAAAATTAAATCAAGAAGTGCTGTCAGAGACATCCTCCCTCATCTCATAGAAAACAATTGAATGTAGGAGATGGGCAAGTGTTGAAAGCCCTAGACTAAAGCTGGAAAAATCTATCTATTGCAGCAAGCCTGGCAGTGATTTTTAAATCATTCCAGATAGAAACATAGCTATGCCTTGCCCTTGAACTTTCATCCTTTCTGGTTTGGTTTTGTTTGTTTGTTTTTAATTTAAATCAAATTTATTCCAAGCCCTTTTCAAATAGAGGGTCAGGCTGTACCATAGTCTTGCTAAACCAATCATATATCCAAAAGCAGAAAATTTTATTCTGTTTACATAGCTTCCATCCTTTGATCTCTTTCTATAAAAGTTTACAAAAAGTGTCATTTCAATAGAAGTACTGCATAATGTATAGATACAGCCCCACTGTCCTCAAAGTAAAGTTCTTCATGACCTTTAATGTGTTCAGATCTACAATGTGTACCTTAGATAAATGCTATTATCAAGAATTTCAGAAACACGTTAGAGAAGAAATCATAGAAATAACAAGTGAGAGCAAAAAAAATTTATAGTCTTAGAACCACATAATAGTTTGGGTCCAAAAGAACATTTAAAGATCACCTATTCCAAACCCTGTCTTGGGCAGGAAGATCTTTTACTGGACCAGATTGCTCAAAGCCTCACCCAGCATGACCTTGAACACTTACTGGAATGAGGCATCCAGAATTTCTCTGGGCAACTTGCTCTAATCCCTCACCATACTTATCATAAAAAATGTTTCCCTTATGTCTAATCTAAATCTACCCTCTACACTTTAAACAATTGTCCCTTGTCATGTTACTGCAGGCCTTGGTAGAAAGTATCTCTCCAGATGACAGAATTTTTAAAACTTTAAATCTATAGAATATGCATCAAAGACCCTGAAACAATTTTTCATTTAGCTTTATACTCCTTTCAAATTTAGTTCAAATATTTAATCTTTTAAAGGACTAATACTCAATGTCTTGGGCATAAGATGGGTGTTTCGAGTTAGTGCATCAAATTATATCACTGAGCAGAGCACTATCAAAAATTGATGGTATCAGAGATGTCACTTATTCTCTGTGAATGGATTAATTTCAAATTGATTATGAATCTTCCTCTTCTAATCCCTAATCCATCATAATTCAATTTAAGGAATTAATTCAGAAGTTTAATATTACCCAAAATCATTGTTCTGCTGTATTGATTGTTCCAAACTTATACATTTTTATTGTCTTTTTAAATTCTGCAACTGTCTTGTTATAGAAGCCTTCTTTCTCTATGGGTGCACTTCTATAAAAAAGAATTCATTAATTACTAGGTGATAATCAACTTTCCTATACCTAAGCTCAATAGGCAGTCATTGCTACTTTCTTCCTGGGAAACAAATATCTGCTTTCCATTGCTTATGCTCCATTGCTTTCATTACTTTCCTGAAAATTTTCTAGTCAATATTATTTATGTAGATAAATATTGGAGCCTTATGCCAATAAAACATATTAGTCAAACATTGAAAATAATTGCTGTATACAATATAACACAAGTGATACATAAAGATGTTTATGCCTTATGAAAAAAGTTCTACCATAGTAATTCAAAATCTAAACATTTAAAACAACAGGTTTGTACAGATCAATTTCAGGTTGGATTTTTTAATGTTTCTATCTTTCAACAGGTACTTAATGTATTTTTTTATTTAGAGTCATGAAACTGTCATAGTAACAGTCACATATGCTTTTTTCTCTTATAGTGCTTAAAAAATCCTTAAAAGTGTTTCAATACAAAAACAGTATAAAAGAGTTTGAGGAAGAAATGCTGCATGCTGTTTTGGTAGTCTTTGAGACTGACAGATGCAATTAGTCCTTTTCTATATAGTGCTATAAAGAGTACAAACACCTAATATATAAAAATATAGATTTTTTCTGTAACTATTACAAATTCACAGCTATTCAGGGTGCTTCTCTTACTGTTTATGGAGAAGATACTTGCAACTGCAAGTCTTCATGATAATTTTTTGAACACAATTTTTCTCTGCAGATATTTTTTCCTTGAAAAAAATTGCTCAATTGTCAGATTTAATCTGATGATTTTATTGTATTGCCTGGATTGGAATGTACATTGAACATTCAAAAGGTTGCCAGATACAGCACTGAGAGTGAATGAAAATGCTGTGCCTATTCAGGTAGGTGCAAGTTGATATTGCAGCATGCTATGCTCTAGTTGTCTTTAGTAGTTATTGTTAAATGAAGGAAATCAAGCCACTCAGCTGTGGCTTTCCTCTAAGCTGAGTGAGCACAAGCACAGTGTATAAACTATGTATACCAATTTCTGACCATGAGTACAGAAATCTAAATGCTTAAAATGCATTTTTGGTTTCGAAAGAGATACTGAAAGTTGATGTTTTTCTTCAATTGCATTAAAAATTCAGGGTTCTTAGAATCAGGAGTGTTTAGATGATTCTGAACACTACTGATTCTAAGAACCCTGAATTGTCACCTAATTTATAAAGTCAAAGTCCTAATTAAAAATACTTGTTAATAATAAAGATCAAATCATTTGAATAGGGAGATCAGGCATGAGGTTTGTGAGGTTTCATCTCTTCAAATTAAGGGATACCTCCTACTTCTGGTGACAATCCACTCAATAGCATCAATTAATTCTCTGGTACTTGCAGAAGAATCAACAGATGAGTTTCCAAAGCATCAGTGCTGATTCATCTTGTTAATTTTTCAGGTTAAACATTCTGTTTAATATTTGCAGTATTATGTGGGTTCTGTAGCTTTTAAAAGAAGGATAGGCTTAGTTGACGTTAGCTTTCACATATATGTTCTCTGAATTGTCTTATGTTTTAAACAACTTTAATTAATAACATCTCTTATTTGACTCTTCTTGAAAATTTCTTTGTAAAACATTATCTTAGCTGTATTAAATCCATAAACCCCTCTGAAACTCTGATACCTACCTTTTATTTTAAAAATACACGATAGTCTCATTTCCAAAGATTTTTTAATAATTGTTTGTTGACAATTATTTTTGTAATGATAATTATGTATGAAAATGCAATTATAAATTGCTTATTTTCCTGAAATTCAACCTTCGTGAAAATCTTAGTGAGATTTCAAGACATAGTATCTGCAATAATTCAAATCTGTCACTATTTTGTAATGTACATGGTATCATCACCTACACAAGGAAATACCTTGAAAAAAAATTTGTTAAATTCTGTAATGCACTACTTTTTTCTATTACCTTGCTTTGGAAAGTTTTTCTTCTGAACCAATACTGCATGCAATACAGAATTAGGAAATAAAGTACTTTTTGTCCATGTTCTTTACTTAGCAGAGCTGGTTTTTTGGGTTTTCTTCTGGTTTTTCAATTTCCTCTTTCCATCACTGGGTACATTATCTTTTTGTTTGTTTAATTAATTTTAATGCTGGTTTTTCCTGTTATCCTGCATCTAACTCACGTGCGTTTTGGGAAGAGCAACACTGCCATTTATCACTGCCATTGTAAGAGAAATCTTACTCTTATATAAGTGATAAAGCCTTTGTGTCTCTAATACTTTTCCTTTTTTAGAAAGATAAAGGCTGATCTAGGGTAATCACTTGACTGAATACTACCTCTGATACCTAGGTCTGCAGCAAAAATTTACTGGGTCTTAAAATTCTCTCTCCATATGCTTTCTGTATGCTTCCTTTATGTTGAATTGCCCATTTTATTGGAATTTATCAAGAGCCTAATGGGCTATCAGAATGGGAAGCTCACTCTTCATCCACACTTTTTCCATAGAACTCAATACCTGGCCATGCCAACCCAAATATTGGTCCTTGACAAGCCAGAGGTCTAGAAAACTTGACACAGTAATTCATATTGGGAAGTTCTTCATGACTGCTGCTGCAATGAAAAGCATCTCCTATTTTTTCCAGGTATCTTCCTGATGCCTTAAGTTTAACTTTTACATTTTTTTCTATCCTGTACTGCATTAGTGTATAACTGAACTCCATACAGAGTGTTAGTAAGCTCTCATCACAGTTTGACAAGACAAAACAATCCTTCCGGGCCTGAGAACCAGGGTGATCACCACAGCCTCAGGCCCCAAAAATATAAACAAAAGTGAATTGGGGCGAGCAAACTGGGGGAATGTGACTTCATTACCTGAAGTTGTAATTGGACAATTAACCCCTGATATGCAAATAGACTACACTCGTATCTGCCCAAAAAACTCATGATGGTCATCCATCTTGGGTATAGCCTCTGTGGGGCTCCTGAACTGCCCAAGGTGTGTTTGTTAAAGGCCTTTAACAAATGCTCACTTTATTCTCTAACTCTGTCTTGCCTCTGTTATAGGTAGCCAGTCCAAATCATCACTCTAATGACCCACACAGTTTTGGGGGGGGTTACAGTGGTCTGTTTGTGAAGTTCTTGAGGAGATGAAACACATTTGGCAGTGTTATTGATCTTGGTCTAACCGTCTATGTTATTGATGTTATATCATACACTAACCAAATATATTTGTATCTTTTCAGATTTGCTTTCTTAAGGTTTCTCTTTGTGGATCCCCAATGTGATCTTTCAACTCAAGAAATGACAGGAATCAAGAGCTTGAGCTGAATTAGGGCCTATAGTTAGGTCTAGGGGTTCTGAGAGGAAGAGTACTTTTGCTTCTCTGGAACTCCTCAGATATCTTTAGGTTGTCTTTGTGTGCAATACCAAGAAGATAGTAAGAATACATTAATTTTATCATAGGTGGACAGTAGGAAAATGCTCAGCTTCCTTCAAGCCTTTTCCCACATCCAGGGTAGCATCCCTTAGATAAATGCACCTTGTCCTCTTAAAACCTTGTAAAGTTAAAGACCACATGGCTACCCAGTTTCTGAACTAAGGTTGTTTGTTTCCAGACAGAATGTAAGTCAGGAAATCTCAAAAGAGTTGCTATCTCAAAAGAGAAAACATATCAATCAGCATATGTACAGGCAGTGAAGTTCAGTTTCCCTTTGGGCATAGAGATGATCGGACATCTAGGAAGGCCCCAACATGAAGGAGAAATAGACAAATTTTAAAATTTTGTCCAGAAGTCTCAGAATTAATCCAATTTCTAGGAAACCTGTCTCTGTTTCCCTCAGTAATTTCATTAAGAATTCATTTGCCTAATGTCAGTGATTTTGTTGCCATAGCCACTGTAAAAAAACCTGGAACTTCTTTTCTTTTTGTAGCTTTAGCTTGCGGGGAAAAGTTTGAGTTTCTAGTTGCTGGAATCAGTAGGAAACCTTCTGTTACGCACAAGTTTTTCTTCTGTGTAAGGTAACATGGGCAGCTGCTGGCTATGACCACAATACTTTTTGTCTGACAGTGAACTATTTCTCTCCCACTTGAGTTCTTTTTGCTGCTGTTGTAAAGTGAAAACACAACTACTGTAGGGTGAGTTTGTTTAACAGTCTTCTAAAAAATTACAAATGAATTGACAGAGTGGCAGGAAGAGGCTAAAAATTATTTAAGAAACCAAAGGATAATACACAGAGCAGGTTAGAAAAATATTTTGAAGACGCTCTTGAACTGAATTCACAGACATAACGTCTTGCCTGGGTGATGATACCTAAAATGTGTCTAAGATTTGGGCCATGTAGAGCAACCTCATAAAAAACTCTAAGCTCTCTAATTGAGGAAGTAACTTGGAGAACAGGTGTCTGAGATCTGCAGGCAATGCTGTCTACGGGAGTTTGACGTCAAAGTTTGCCCAGTTTGTGTGCATCATATATGCAGAATTTTTTAAGAAGTGGGTTAGAACCTTTCCTGTCTTTGCAGTGCCCAAGGGATTTGCATATATTCACGCTTCTATAAAAACACCAAAGTATTTCCTTATAGTTAACTGGGTAGAATTTGCACAACCTTAGAACTAAATGCCAGTGCATGCATTTACTTTCAAAAAAAAGAGGACACTAAAAGAAAAATAAAATAACATAAAAAAGAAAATCATATCACATATTAAAGGTTATGCAAAGCCTGAAATAAGAGACAAAAATATCTACTGCTTAATGCAGAACTTACATCTTACATGTTTAGGAAAGAACAATTTTGACTTCTATTGAATCTGTCTGTCATGTCTTAACTAACAAAACTATGGTTTTTTTGTACTTTCTTTGTTCTTCAGAACATTTTCTTGCTACAGTACTTTCTATGCTCGGTCTAAGCCACCATAATAGATTTTTTGCTCTGGTCTGACGGGAAAATCAGGAATTGTCACAAGACTGTAAAGCCCATAGCCAAGAAAATTATCAGTGTACAGACTATGTCAAGAACAACACAAGCAAAGGTTTCTTTCTATTTCCTGGCAGAATGTGCTTTTGTCACTTTCCTGCATGGAGCCACTTTGTTACGACTATTAAGAAACATTGCATGGGATGCAGAAGTTGTAAAACAGATGAAATGGAATAGTTCTGTAGAAGCCAGATGTATTTGTAGAGACATTCCAAGTCCTAAATACCAATCTTCTATCTGGCAAAAGTCATTTATGTGTGTATATGGTTCAAAGAAAAGATATTGACAAAACAAAAATACTGGTAATTTTATAGTATTACATACACAGTTCATGTGAGACAACGAAATAATTTTCTGCTCTCACTTTTACTTAAGATACTAAAATTCTCCTCAGGGCAAAGGCGATCATTTTTTGTCCTCCTGCTTCTGATTCAGGGACAATCATATATAGAACATGTTCTGACAGGGCAGTTCCAGGGACTGGGAAGAATATTTGATGTTGAAACCAATACTTATCTGTTCAAACACATCACCATCATTTGGCTTCTGTTTTCCACTGAATTAGAAGGGTTTGCAGTGCTTAGATTGGGCCAGGTGCTGTTGTGGTTTAACCTTAACTGCCACTCAGCCCTGCACATCCACTCCTCACTCTCCCTTGGTGGGATGAAGAGAACTAGAAGAGTAAAAGAAAGTAAAGTCATGAACTGAGATAGGGAAAGTGAAAGCCATGCATGAAAGCAAAGAAAAATGAAGCAAGTAAATTGCTTGGGGAGACAGAGCACCATAACCCCTTCCTCTAGATTTATATGCTGAGCATGACATCATACAGTATGAGATCAGCTAACCTGACTACGTCTCTTCCCAATTTCTTGTGCATCTGCAGCACCCTGCTGATGGAGTGGTGTGAGTAGCAAAAAAGGCCTTGGCATTGTGCAAGCGCTGCTAAGCAGTAATGAAAACATCCCTGAAATATCAACAGTTTTCAGCACAATTCCAGAATGCAGCCCCATACCAGCCGCTCTGAAGAAAATTAACTTTATCCCAGCCCAACCAGCACAAAGACTTCCTTAGTTCTCTTCTACAACATCTGAGGCAGAAAGAAAACATAACCTTCTTGTATCTTTTCTCCTTCAAAAGCAATAAATGTCTTGAATACAGTATTGCATTTCCCAAAAGATTATCCATGAGTATTTAGAAAAAAATGCCGTGCTTCTTCTAATACCCAATTTATGTCTTTTTTATGTGTAGTTTACTTGCTCAACAGTTAATACTTGGACATTTGGTGCTCATGAGCAACTGCTTATCACTGTTATGTCAGAGAGAGACTGTCACTGTATAGTGTGAAATTCTTTTTCCACTGACTTAGCAAAAACTTTTATCAATTCTTGAAGTAGATCCAAACTTCACCTATGTGTCTTGCACCTCAGATAAATTTTGCATTTTCATTGAGGAAGCTTACATACAGAATATCTAGATGTTTCAGTCATCCCTGAATCTCCTTTCCAGATTAAAACCAAATTCTCCTTACTTTTGCATGACATATTTTAAATGAGGAAGTACTCAAGGAAGAGACCAGTTATATGTCATGCTGAGAAGGTCTGTACTAAGCTGTTACACTTCCAAAATGTCTTGATTTTCTAGGACATCGTTGAACTAAATATAAACTGCCCCAGAACATCTGTGTGAGAAGAATAATAATACATTGCACACAGCAGTAGTCTTGCTGGGATGAATTTTGAGCAGCAATGCAGGGGAGAGGTCTGGTCCAGCATGGACTGAAAACCTACATTCTGATGGTCCTGTATATGTTCATTTTCCAGAAATCTTTTTCTGTGATCAAACATGTGCAAGTTACCTTAATCTATACAGTCCTTTAAGTCATCTGGGTCTTATCTTTCTCATGCATTTTCCATTACCAGAATCAATGCTTTCCTTTTGGTATTTTTGATTTCATGAATGAGTAGAAAATTATTCTTCTCTGACAAGTCGAAGTTATTGCATTATTTATGGCAATTTTTCTTTCCCATCACTTTTCTTAAGACAGTTCATTTCAGAGCCCATTTCATACTTTTTTTGGTAATGCACATGAGATGCTTTCTGTATACTATAATTTTACTTTTATTTCAGATAAATATGGGTGGGTTTTTTGATTTGGGTTTTTTTTTTGTGCTTCTAGCCATAGAACAGTAACACAAAACCAAGAGGAACTGATAAATCACTAGTGTATTATTAGAATAAGGAAATAATTTTTGAATTGTAGCAAATTTTTGATGCATTGTGTTCTACTTTAAGCCCTTTAATTGTCTATGTGTATACACCTATATTTAATTTTATTCAGATAAATTTTTGGTATGCAGTGTAAGGCTGCATGGGTATCTTTGGAGAACATTCTTACTACCTGAATGAGTGCCTCTTAAAGATTAGCTCAGCTGGTTAAAGCCTGAAGGTAAATACTCCAGATTTTGGGTTCAATTCCTGTATTGGCCTTTCATTTAATGATCCTCATGGATCCCTTCAACTAACACTATTCTGTGATTCTTGTATTAAGACCAAACTTTAATAATTGCTGCATATTAAATTTTCTGTTCTTACTCTGTAGTGCATACTTAGAATGGCCATTATTTGTGTGATTCCTGAATCTTTCATATTTAAGTGAGGAATTTATCCTGCTGCCTCATAACCCCTTGTGAATGCTATGTTCCATAAAAATTTCCATACTCTCCTCAGTGTAAATATAGCCTTAATTCTAGTGCTGCTTGAAAACAAGGCAAATGGGATTTTTTTTTTGATGTCTTACTCACATATGATAAATTCCTCTGCAGCTTCTGTGAGAATATAACTTCCGTTGTGCAATTGAATGTGTGTGCTACTGCACAGATGATACAAATGTATTGGACATCTGTTTCATGAACAATGTCTTGTGCTTGACAGAATGCGATATTATGGATGTATTCCTTCAAATAGCTTCAAAGCAAAAATAAAACTCAGCAAGGAATGAAGACTGTCTTTAGTTCGTTAATCTTCTGCCTCTATGCCCTTGTGGATTAATCTTGAGCTGTGAGCTTGGATAAATATGCCTGGCAAGAAAATGCTCTCACTCTTTCTTGTTTTCATTTCTTCTTTTATTTTTTTTTAACTTTTAAGCTCTCCAGACTTAGCTGCCTAGAGTGTACAGACTAAAGTGCACATAATTATTTTCAGTGAAGGACTCTCCAGTGAGATCTTCAGGTTCCATATGCAATTAGATTTGCTGGTGGTTCTGTCAGTCATGCATTGGCACCATATACTTTAATTTACTCATGGTATGGAAGTCTGATTTGCAAAGTTAACTCAAGGGCAACTTTTATTTACCAAATTTTCAGGTAAATGGGGAAATATTTTGGTCATTTTAGGGAGTGGTGCTCAATCAAGGCAAATAGCAAATTGCATTTGCTGTTCATTCACTTTGTCTTTATCTGAGAAAATTGTTGACTGTAAGATGTGCTCGAAACTCTAAAACAGATGCTTTCTGTTACATATAACATCATCCCTATTTTCAAATATAATTTCCCACACGTGCATGGTCAGATACAAGGAACTGATGCAAACAGAATCAGAGGATCACAGAATGACACATACACACAAGTCAGGGTAAACACTTCTGTTGTTCACCCCACTGTGCATGAGAGAAGCTTCCCTCATCCTAATATCCCCTAGCTAAACAGAGTACACAAGTATTCTTGGTAACACCTCCAGATGGACAAAAAATTAAAAGATAGTTAAGAGGGATTAATCATTATGTTTGCTTTTCTGAGTGTGTGACAGGCATTTTTTAATAATCTTCAAGGGATGCAGTGCTTATGTATGGAGGTAGATTATAAAGAATACATTTAAATTTAAATACATAAATTTTCAGACCTGCTATGGAAATTTTCTATGAAATAAGACATTGTTGCATGTAGATTAACTTATCATGTTCAAATGTGGAAGCAAAACGGATGATTGCTTGGACAACAAAGAAGACAGCATTTGGCGCAGCCTAACAAAGGAAAGTAATGTGAAAAAGGAATGTGAAAATCATGTTTCTCTTCCTATCTTTTATGAATCAGTTAGAGCTCTTTGGCTTAGTCAAGAGCCAGAGATTACTCAACTAGCATTTCCATTAAGAAGGAAATCATAACCCCTTTTAAGGAAAATGAGGGGTAAATATAAATATTTTCCTTAAGAGAAATAATGTAGGGGGGTTTTAGGCTCAGAGCATATGTCTTATATAGTTTTCTGCTTTTTTCAGAATGTCTCTACATGTATCATGTTGCTTCAGGTTTTTTGGTTTTTTTTTCAGTCCCCCAAAAGCCGTTCTATATTCAAGAAATTTATACTAGTTTTATATCAGATGAATCTTCCATTCTGAAATTGTAACACTTTTTGAAATAAATGATTTAAAACTTATGGAAATTAGGTTAAAAAATCATATTATCAAACACTTGTTTAATATCCAAATTAAATTATGGAATAACAGCCGCATGATACAAACCTAGAGTTCAAAACAGAAAGCTTTTCTTTATTCCACAGTGAAATGGAATAAGGGGTATGTTTTTATCTATTTGTGGACATTTCAAAAACAGGAAAATGAGGGTGAATTCATGGAATAAGTTATTCACTGCTAAGTATACACTAGCATCAATAGAAAAATCAACCACAAATATACTGCAATAACTTAGCAACGTGAATGGGAAGTGTAGCTGTTCGATGATGCACATGAATACAAGATGCTAAATTGTATGAAAATGGCCTCAGGATATTGTTTCAGATTCTGTATTGGTTTCTGTATGAATAACACTGCTGCAGTGGAAAACAAAAGAAAACAAACAACTCTGAGTTTTTCTACTGGTAAAAAATATATCAGATAAAATCCAATATTCTTAGTTCAGGATCAGGAGTTCAAGTTAAATTATAAAAATTCACTTGGGCAGTTGCTTTATTTTTGCTTTATTATCCTGGATATTTGTTTTCTTGGCAAAAAAGAAAAAAATTCTTCACATTTCACTTCTCTTTTTGCTTTGATCCTTCAAGTGGGCCTAATCCCATGTTTGTAATAGCCTAATCCTCCAATATGGAAATTAATGTGGTGTCACACATATTCAGTGTTATGTTGTTACGGTGCCAGAAGGGACAATGGGCCTTGAAAAGAGCAAGACATTCTAAAAATAAAAATAAAAATTAATAAATAATAAATAAAATAATACCCAAGCAGACAAATAAGTAATCTTTTTAATAATTATGTAACATGTGGCAAAAAATTGTATAATGTTACTGAAAACATAAATTTCTTCTCCGGGTTTGAAAGATCACACTTCTTTTTTCTTTCTTGGGCCAAACAGAAAGGCATATATTTTGATTTCAGAGCACTAAAAAGGCATAATCTTCTCAGTGAAAAAATATCAGGGGATGAATATTTTCCTAAAATAGTCACATGAATCTTTGGAAGGTTTTTGGAAACACATCTTAACATTTCCAACAGTTCATTCCACTGGGAAACGCATAAGAGAGGGAGAGAGCAATGGAAACGCCTCTCACCTTTTGAGAGGATGGGGTGAAGTTCTCAGGCTGATCCCAGAGCAGATTCACCATCTCCATAACCTGTGCAAATGTGAAGGGGTAGCCATCTCTACTCTTCACAGGCTCACAGGTTTCAGGTCACTGATGTGTTTCTGGAGACCTTGTGACTTAGGCTTGCTGTTAGGTTAGTAGTCCCAATATCCCTCTTGAAAATTACTTTCCACTGTGCATATTTGCCTCTAGATGTTCAATATCTCCTCATGAAAATCTTCTTTTCCTCTATGCTTTACTTTTCCTTGTGAATATTTTTTTTTGCTGACCCCTGTCTTAAATTCTGCTACTGAAGGAAGAAAAAAATAAAAGAAACAAAGAAAAAACCCCAAATCCCCAGTCTTTTAATGTGCATTCCATTTGAGAAAAGTGTCCATAATTGTTTTGCTGATACTGTAAATCTGCAAAGAGATTGAAAATAACTTTAAGATTAATTTTAATGGGGATTCTCAGGGGAACTGAACTGTAAAATCATTGTCTGTAAGTCCATTTAAGAACTTGTCCCTTCATTCCACATCTCTCTTTCCCAACAGCACTTAGAAATGTGTTTTTAATTATCTTGAACATCTGATTAATTTCTACATTGCAAACTGCAGTCCTGGTGGGAAGATACTTGTCAAGACATAGCAGGAATAAAATACATCTTGTCTGAGAAGTATGGAATATGGTTAGTCCAGTTTTCAACTCTTTCATTACTGTTCTTAAGCTTAATTTTTTTAAGCACTAATCTCAAAATATTGCTGGCAAAGAGTTTATTTGGTAGTTCATTATACTGCCCAGCAGGCAGTGAAATCAGCAAGAGCTTGGGCTTGTTGGGCTGCTCCATATGTTTATTTGCTAGCATGTATAGAAAACAGTCTCACACAAAGATCCCGAAAATGCTGAATCCAGCAAATACAGACAGAGAGGCTGGAAGAGAGGGAGTGGAGGATGGGGACTGAAATGTAGATGGGAAATTTCTCACCTGACAGAGGAGAAAGACATCAGGGCCCAGAGTGTACCCACAGGAATGTGGGTAGCAGCCCCGGTATGTTTTGGGACCAGCCCTACCAAGCTACCCTCTCCTTGTGGCATGGAGATGCCACTTCAACCTTTTCAAACTTGGCTGGGGTTTGGCCCTCAGGCTGCCCCACAGCTGTAGGCTGACCTCCAAAACCCACAGAAACCTGCGGCAACAGGTCAAGGACAAATCAGCCCTGCAGCCTTCTCTAATGCTCCAGATCCAGAACAGCCCCTGCCCCCCTGCTTCCCACACTGCTCAGTGGGATAAGGCGGAGATGTGGGATTTTCTGGATGACAAGATGACTGGTGTCCTTTCTAAGACTTCTCATTCCCATTCAGTTCCACCTCAGTGATCAATTTCATCAGTACAAGAGAGGCAAAAAGATGATGAGCACTGCCAAAATGAAGGAATCATATGGGAAGCTTTTTGATACCAGGTATACTGTGACTATTTTTGTTTTATTTCATTTTCAGAGGGCAGATATAGGGAGTTCCCCTGGTTGAATCAAGGACATAATCCTTCATGTTATACAAACATAGAAAAGAATAACTGAACTAAAGTTTCTAGTCTCAGAATCCACATGAAAAGCCTCCAGGCAGCTCTTCTGCCAGACAAAGTGATCAATTAGAGGCTGTTTCAGCCCCAACAGGTAGCCTTGGATTTCACTGCTCTTATTTTTCCCATACTGAATGCCACAGACCATTGCAGCAGTACGTTGAGTAACATGATGGACCTCTGTAGCTTTAGTTGTTCTCCTGAGCTCCTTCAAATAAAGAAAACCTTGTTCAATGAAGTCTGTTGTTGTGGTAGGACTTTTAAATATGTTTCCAGAAGTCAGGCATACCTTGTGCTTAGAAGGGATTGGTAGAGACTACAGTAAATCCATGATGGCTCTAAATTCCCAGAAGGTTTCATTAGTAGTCTTGTATTGAAGCCAGAAAATTTTTAACTCATGGGCTTTTTATGCAAGTGGCAAGTCAGGAAAAAGGAAGAAACCAGGTTTTTAGGCATTTAAAAAGCTGCGGAGGCATTTAAAAAGCTGCGGAGGCATTTAAAAAGCTGCGGAAAATCATCTGTCTAAAGTACGAATTGCCAGAAAAACAGCATTAGTAAATAGTACAAAAGAATCTAAGGAGACATTTAGCTGAGATTATCTCTCCCTTGGAGTTGTCCCTCAAATTTCTCCAAAGAAGAGGACATATTTGTGTGAAAATTTCAGTTGAAAACTTTCCTTCAGTAAAACACATAACCTGGAGACTTACTTCTTCATATTTAGAAATTTCTAGGGCTTGGTATGCTAGTGGTGAATACTGAAATATTGTACTAATAATCATCCTGTAAAATGGAGTTCATTACCTGTGATACCCTAATGGCTCTGTCTGTTGTTAGA